AACCATCGTATTTTCTCAAAAGATGAATTCAGCAGGCAAAAACGGATTTTAGACTTTATACTCCAAGGTAAACTTACTAGTTATCATTTATTGGTAATGACCAAAATGGATTCTCTTGCTTGCTTATATTGCTTACTAGGCAAGACATATAGAAACATGGAGTCCTTCTGACTATTATACATGAAAAAACGTGAAACATTTCTTTAAAAAAATTACTTGCGTTAATTCGACAAGATTCGCTCGAAGAAGAGCAGAGTTGCGAATCACTCCCAAAGCAGCCTTAATCACAGGGGCGCGAAGAGTTGCCAAAAGTTGCAGTAGCATTGGGAAACTCCGACAGAGCCGGAGATCTTGTTGAGCCTGACGAAGCAAATAACAAATAAAGAGGAGCAAGCATTTACGAAAATCACCTGTTCCGCAAAAGAATGTCTAGCTGTGCAATGGCGAAGAGCACAAAGAGCTGGTTCAGTAGCTTCTTCAACATCAGGAAAACGATTTATTGCCTCTACAAGTGACTCCACTCCATGATTAGAACATAACTAAAATATGCCAATGTTCATCTTATGAAAGCAGAATATAGACCTTACTTACAGTCTGCTTGTTCCGTATATTATTACACGTGAGATTGCTAAGTATACCACAAGCACATGATGTTTGAGCTGCGTCTGCAATTCTTACGATTTCCAAAAGACGAATGACCTAAAATGGAAAATAAAATTATTGAAAAAAACACTAAAGTAGTTTCAAACACCAGGGGAGCCAGATTATCCTCATTCGTAGCCGCATCTGAGAGATTTCGCATAGCAACAAGTATTGCCAATGAGACGCGATCGTCGTTCGTAGCGCACAACTCTTTATACAATGCGGGTAAACAGCCTGCAGTGTCAGAAGAGAAGAAGTAGAGAACAAATGAGGAAGAAGGAAAGCAACAAACCGAGAGAGATGAGCGCTGCTTTGTTCTGTTGACAAACAGACAAAGATCTTATGCATCGAATGACAGTATACATTAGTTTTGGGTACTGCGTATAATTATTAAGTATGTGCACGAGTGTCTGCGGCCCACCCAAAGACAAGAAGACAATTTTTGATTGTGGGTCATCTACAAAGAAATTGGTCATCCTTCTGGAAAAGAAGGAAAAAGGTATTACCAAGAAGAAGGAAGTAAAGACTGTCCGCCACCAGCGCTAAAAATTTCCAATTAGTTCTGAGAAGGAGAGGCGCCAAGCCTTCAATTGCTCCTAAAACACGAGCTTGCGCTTTGACGGTATCCACATGCATAAGTAGATTGCGAAGGGTAGTAACTGCATATTGGACCACAGTCTAAAATATGATTGGTTTTTGATACTTTGCGTTTAAGTTTTTAATAAAAGTTTATTACTACCTCCACAGGACAGTAGAGCATCCGAATGAGTTCAGCAAGTCCTCCCGAGCGAAAAATCTGCATTCTTCCTTGAGGATGTTCTGAGATGTGACTCAAAGCTCCTACAGCGTCACGCTTGACATTGATATTGTCTCCTCTGCAAGAATCTATCATTTAAAAAAAACGATTAGAGAAATTCAGATTTCTACATGGATGCACCTCCGTACATACTTGTAACTTAAAACGCTCAATCTATTATTGGCATTCTATGAATTTTGAGTGCTTACAATTGAATGGCTACTATAAGTAACAAA